GGGTGGGGAAAGGGATGCAATGCAAAGAGTTATGAGTGAACATTGTGAGTGATGGAAATGGTCTACATATTAATCATGATGGTAGCTACACAAGTGTAAACATTTGTAAAAATATTTCAAACCATACACTTAAAATGAGTTCATTAAAAAATCTAATGACCAGGCATCACTCACAGAAATAACACAGTTCATACTTTCCCAGAAGAAAACAAACCCAAAAGCCTATTTGGATGAGAAGTAGGGTCTTCTTTGAGAGGTTGCTTAGGAAGTATAAAGAAAAATGCACAGTACACCCTTCTAAAACTATCCTCCAAAGTCCTGTCCATTACATTTCCAACATGCCTAGGATGCTTTTCAAGGCAGAATGTAAGTGTACAGTCTTGAAGAAAAGAAATAGGTCTTCTGTTATGCGTGGCTTTAGCAGATCATCTTTCACGTCCATTCTAATAGTGTGACTGTGTAATAAATTGTTGAGGAAATTCTGTTTTGTGAATCTTAGGTGTGATAGGACTAAGAAGAAAGGCAACAGAAAGACACATCACCGTTTCACGTCTTGAATGAGTCTTTTTGGACCTGAGGACCAGAGTTGTAAATTATGGAGATCTGATTCCTCAGGTAAAGGAAGGCTCATGAACTAGGCTAGTACTGAGTACCTCAAATGTGCAAATCCTACCTAGTTCTGAGGCCTCAGACACGTTCTTTCTGGCTCTTAGTTTCTTAGTCATATATGGAAAAAAAGCTTGGCAGAGATATTTCCAGTTCTCTGGCTCAAAAGCTCAATGACAGTCTAAGATGGCTTGGTTCAGAAGGCTTTAAATATCTTTTCCTTCAAGGGATCAGTCAAAACTTCAACTTATGTGATTTGTTTCTAATTACATTTTTAAAAACACAGACATGTATAAAGAAGGAAACAAAATGTCCATGAGTTTTCTACCCTGAGTTAATTTAACATTTTAGGAAATGCAATTGAATTTATACATATGTACAATTATGCATTCTTTGCTCATTGTACTAAGTTTATAATATATGTATTTGGAGGTAGCTAAATCACTTAACCTTTCACTAGTTTTGGGGATTTCAACTTCCATTTTTTAAAAGTTCGGGTGAATGTATGTCTTTGTGTGCATGTGCACATGTGCATGAGAGAGGGACAGAAATATATTGAAAGAAACAGATATTGTACCTTCATTTCAAATCGTGTACTTATGAAAGAGTCCTGTGTTTGGAACTAATTGTCAAAAGTAATGCATACATATTTTAAGATTCTTAGAACATATTTTCAAATTTATTTTTAAAGTATCTCATCAGTCTTTAAAATACTATGCACATCTTGTTATACTCTAGTGATGAACATTATACATTTTAGATCTTTGATAAATTGCTTTGACACATCATTGATTTTACATATATATGTGTGTGTGTGTGTGTGTGTGTGTGTGTGTGTGTGTGTGCATGTGTGTATGTATGTGTGTCCATTCTAATAGTGTGACTTTGTAATAAGTTGCTCAGGAAATTCTGTTTTGTGAATCTTAGGTATGATAAGACTAAGATATATATATACACACACACACACCACACACACACACACACATACATACATATATATACACACATACTTGATTCTTAAACTGGTTTGTGGTTACATTGGCTAATTCTTTCTGTGACTTACCTTTCCATGGCTGATGACCATGTTTCTGTGGAGGACTTACTATTTTATTTTTGTATAAATGCTTAGAGTATTATCATTTCCAGCCATATTTATAGAGTATTTCATTTGCTTTTCAGTTTTGTTTAAAATATTCTTTATATGAGCATATTTACTTTTTATGTGGTCAAGTTTATTGATTTATTATTTGTGAAGATACTTCTGGTTCTTGTCATAGACTAGGCTCAAATAGGATTGTTTATGCTTTATGGTTATTGTATTGCAGTTTTAGTATAATTGTTTTTGTTAGTCCTCGGACCTGGTTTCTAGGTCTTATTGAACTGGCTTGATCATTATAGCAAATAAGAATTTTTCTTCATATGGCTTTGAAGTGCCCTTTGGAATTTATGCTTAGAAAATGGACAATTAGTGTAACTAATTTCTCTGTAATTAGGGTTCATCAATATTACTTTTCAGGTTGTCAGGATATAAGTAAATGTTTCCTTGGAATTCTCATCCGGGAATGTGAAATTGTTGTTTGATAACACTTGAAATCTCAAAGTCGACCAGCATTTGTGTAGAAAATATCTTTTGATGCTTTATTCAGGGTCCACAAATTTTAGGTAAGCATCAGAGAGGAAAGTTAGTGCACTGATGCTATTAAATGTGAAACCATCTATTGCACTGCATATATACTTTGGGATTCGCCCTTTGACAAGTTGAGAAAGTTCTACTCTTCACTAATTCACAAGGTGACAGCTCAACTCGTCATCAGAGGATTTTTTTCTGACTAGAAAGAAAATTTGAAGTTTGAAAATGTCACAGTTTATGGCAGAATTATACTCATATTGTAGGAGGGCCACTGCATTTTGGATTTCTTTCACTGCTTGCTAAAACACCCATTGTAGTTGTTTATAAGCAGATAGTTACAAAGATTTTATATCATATTTAAAGCTCAATTATTAAATTATGTAAAATGTTTTTCTCTTTACCTAAACTTGTGAATATAGCAAGACATAATGTTGATTAAGTTCACATAATCAAGAGGTTTGATATTTCTCAAAAAAATTACCTGAGTTATATAAGTTAGACAAATACATCCAGCAATAGAACGCTTTTTTGAGCTAAAGATGATATAAGATCAATGAAAAGGCTGTAGCATGTCAGGTGTATTAGTGCAAATTTCAGAATTCTTCAAAAAGAAAATTACAACACCTGGAGGTCAGGACTGCTGTGGTGCTGTGGAAAATAGAAACAATAGATAAAGATGTCAGAAAGCAACAGATGAGGATTACAAGCACCAGTATTAGTAAAACAGTAGTAATTATAGCAAGTTCAAATGTTAGAAATGAGCGTGGTAAGGTGTAGGTATCTTTGTCTTCTTCCAGGAGCATTTCAAGAAAGAATACAAAGGAAAGAAAGGAAGTTTTTTATTTCTTTTTTTAAATTAGGTACAATGATTCCTTATTACCCACCCCTTTCCCCCAAAGCCCCAGAATTCATGCAGTTTATTCATGTCTCTTTAGGTCGAATATAAACTAGCCCTGTCAAGTCTGAAATCAAGATTATATAGTTTTACTTTGGTGTAAATATACTTAAAATACATCAACAATCGGTTTTTTCAAAGCAAACTTTGTATCTAGTGATAGGTCTTTAAAACTGCTATGTATCCACTAAATGCGAGACACCATGCTAATGACTGGAGATACTGAAATTCTTTGCTTGCCTGTGTAAAGTTTGGAGTTTCCTGGCTAAAACATTCACATAGCTACAGCAGGTGATACGATGCAGGACAAAGCCACCATTGAAAGATTGAGAAGGAATATCTGTGACATGCTAAGCATAAGAGGGAGGTCAGGAACAGTGTCAAGGAGTCTTACCTGGAGTAGAATTTGGGGGAAAGGTTTGGAGTAGCCAGCCAAAGAGCAGGCAGTATGTATTACAAAATCCAGGAGGGGGGTGTGTGTGTGTGTGTGTGTGTGTGTGTGTGTGTGTTTATGTTTATGTTTCCTGAGTGTCATAAGTATAGGAGAATGGCAGATCAAATTGCAGGTAAAAATATAGGCTAGCTTATGAAGACCTTTTTATCTTGAAAACTCAAGAACTGTAAGACAGTGATCTGGAAGTGATGTCATTAGCTTTGCATTTTAGATCATTCTGGCAATAGTGAGGAGTAGAGATTACAGGGGTTGAGAATTGGGAAAGGAATTCTGTAAGGAGGGGCTGTAGTGACCTGAAGGAACAACATGAAGATCTGAAATAAGGCAGTCTTGGAAAGGAGAGGAGTCAGAGTGAATACATTGGGAAACTGTAGTCAGCAGAATTTTGTGACTGAAGTAATGTGGCAGTGATTGGGCAAAGAGACTGATTTACACTTAATTAATCCTAAATTTCTGGTGGGGTTTGTGGAAAATTTTTGGTGCTAGAAGTTTGGTATGGGAGAGCAAAAGCTTTGATATGCTTATTGCACATTAAGGTGAAGATTCTCAAATACAAATATTCTTTAGTAGTACAGTTTATACATTAGTCATTAATGTTATGTCTATTGAGTGTTGTCCTAAGTGCTATTATTATATTTATTTTGCCAATAATGAAACTGAAGCAAAAACAAGGTTGACCCGTCTAAAGTTACAAAGGAAGTAAATGGCAGAGCTAAAATTATGTTCAGAAAGTCTGATTGTCATTCCCACTCTCAGGTGCTCCATTCTCCTGCTTTTCAGTCACATGGAGATCTGACCTATGAAAATTATAGCCTGGAGATAGGGATTTGGAAGTAAACTAATTTATATGAAAAGATGAAACTACTGGCCTGAATGACATGACCCTGGAGAGTCTATGTAGCTTTTGTGTGTGCTGAGGTTACGACTTTGTCATTCAGAAAGAGGAAGTGAGATTGGGAAAGAGACTGAGTGACCAGAATGATAGGAGGAAAATCCAGAAAGAATTGTGCTATAAAATTCAAATTGAATGCTAGTTTGTTTCTCTTTTTAAGAAATAAAATCAACAATTCTAAAACCTTGAAAAACATAGCCAGAAATGTCTGTCAGAAGTCACAGGTGATAGTCACAATGATTTTAGTTTAGTTATTCAGAAAGAAAATAAAAGAGGCTGGGGAATGAAAAGAAGTGAGACCATAAATTCAGAAAGCTTCCTCAATTCTATGGAGTGATGTGACTATACAGGCCAAAGAGGGATTGAGTGGAAGTTCATGGTGGATGAGAATAAAAGAAGAGTTTTTCTTGTAATAGGTAAGATAGGATCACGATTGTGTGGATTTTAGGGTAATCTGTCTTGGAATAAGATTTTTTTTAAAGAGCAAAATTATAATTTGAAATGCTTTTTAAACTTTTAACAGAACATTATACATCCATGGGCATACCAAGTTGGATTTCACAGTCTGGCATACTGCAATTGAAAAAGCAGCAGGTACAGATGGTAATGCTTTACAAGATCAGCAGCTCAGCAAAAATGACGTTCCCATTATAGTGAACAGCTGTATAGCATTTGTTACACAGTATGGTAAGTATCACTGAGTTTTTATTCAACTCCTAGAACTGATCATATCATTCTTACAGGTTTTTAAGTGGTACCTCTATTGGACTGAATTGAAACCCTTTATATTTGTAAGTACACTAGTGAAAAATAAAGGCAGATTTACTGTTCAGCTAATTACCATTCCTTCTCCCAATAAGACTCGTTTAAACTATACCATACATTTTTACCATTTCCTCCTTCCTTTATATGCATAAAATATTAAACTGTTGAAATAATCTAAGTTATAATATGTACATAAAATAGTAGATTATATGTTTTATTCAAGTAAGAAAAAATAGTAGATTGAAGACTATCTTTCAGAGATTACAAGGCTAGATTAAAGCCTACAGTGACACAACACGTCTAAGCATGTTTTTGAAAGTGATGAACTGTGGAACAATATGTAAAATAATTTGCTTCCTTTGGCATACATCAAGTGTGCATGTAGTTTATGTTCAGAAGCGTAGCTATTAATTTTCACAATTTTTGCTTATTTTCAACAAATGTTTCAATGAATAGTCTACAAATAAAAAACACGTTGATCTGTACCATGGTCCAGCTTCATGTCAGTTTTATATGCTATGTTTAGTATTTTAGATATACCTGAAAGATATCCTCTTTCCTTCATGTTTATTTTCAAATGGTTATGAGTTCTCCAAATTCCTTTTATTGCATATATCTTTCATACTGTAAATTTCTTGACGCTATTTTAAATGTGAAAATGTTAAAATGTTACCATGAGCCCTTTTAACCTGTAGGTAAATGCCATTTATTTAGATTACAAATATGGAAAAGAGGAAAATGATTTGATCTTTTGGATTGTATTAAAATTTTTTTGTTCTCCTTATATTAGAGGTATCTTTGGGTGTTTTTAATTTGAAAAGAAGATATAAGTAGTGAGGGCTGCAGTAAAGCCTTGTATTATTAGTTAATTGTTTCTTTATCAAGTGCTTATTGTATGCCAGTCACTGGTCTCACTCTTAGAAACACAGTAGTGGAAGTAAAAAGTTCAAGACAAAGCTATGAATCATATCTTCTAGTATGGGAAACTGACAATACACTGATATGTAACAAAATATCAGAACTAATGATATGTATAAAGAAAATACTTTTCAGGAATTAAACTTAGGCATATTTTAATCTCTTGTTCTAGGGAGAGTGTCATTTTAAGTATTTTACTTACTTTGTATGTAATCCAAGTGCAATTATTAATGTCCAGATTCATTGTGTTTTTATGATATATCTACTGAAAATATTATACATAATATTAAAAAATATACATATGATATATCTACTGAAAATATATACATAAAATATATACATAATATTACTATAAGAAGTTTCCTGCTATGATAGTATGTTCGTGTTTTTCTTCCTAGCTATAATCATCTGTTAAAAAATGGAGGAAGGAGAATGTTACCTTTATTTGTTACAGCCATTCAGTGGTAGTGTACATTTTGCAGATACACATGAATCACATATATGTTATGTTTTAACAGGAGCATAACCTCATTGGGAATCTTCACAACATGTTAGTTTCCTAATGGCATAAGGCCTTTCTTAAGCGAGAAATAATTAAAATACCTTGACTAGCTCTGATGTAGCCAATTTAATGTTTTTCTAGGGAAATCAGAATTTTCCTTGTGTTTATTTGGGTTTAAAATAATTCAGCATTAGATTTTTTTTCAACTAAAACTCATATATTATAACAACTTTATACATCTATTACAAGATGCCTTCACTTGCATGTTAGAATAATAAAGCCAATGAAGGATTGTGTTTATATAAATAGATACACACACACACTTAAATATATACACACATATGTGTACATACATATATTCATATATACACATACATATAGTCATATAACATGTATATATTATATATAAATGTATGTATCATATATTTTTATATTATATATAATTATATATAAAATTGTGTTTGTATTATATATCTACTGAAAGTATATAAATAATCACATATTGGGCACTACAGTAAGAAGCTTCCTGCTATGATAGTATGTTTATGTCATATATATGTATTTATATTCAGAACATTGGGGAAACCTCAATGCTACCAGCATGTATAGAAGAAAGATTTGGCAGGAACTTAGAAAATACCCAGTGATTATAGGATGCAGATGGTTTCATGGTAGCAATTATTTTGAACCTCCTGAGCTGTGGGTTGAAATCTCAAGACCAATTTTCTGTGCTCATTTTGCCATTGTGTCAAGGTTTGAACTTGAATGAGTTCATAGGATGACTCTTAGGGTTTTAATTTTTAAAAAGTAAATTACACTAGTTCTTGGGGAAAATTATTTCAATTATATAAACAAAATTATGTTCAAATTATTTTTCAGTTAACTTACTTGAGTGCCAGCTATTAGAAATTCATTCAGCTAGGGATATACTATCTCAAATGCTTAGTCAGTATTGATTTTTGTAGAACTTGCTTATTCTTGCATTAAGCAGTCATTTATTGAATACCTGCAGAGTAGTTCTAGGCACTGTGTAACTGCCGGCTATACACAGAGATATGTCACAGAAAATAAGACATCATTTTTCCCTTCTAGAAATTTGCAGATTTATGAATAAGAGACAAATACATGAGCAGTTACAAGTCAGTGTATAAAATTCTCTAGTAAAGAGGTTCAGGGGGTGCTTCCGGTGTCCAAGGTGTAGGGGTAAATTTCACTCACAGAAGGTGTGGTATCAGAGAGCTTCATAGGTAAAGCACAGTGCTTGCCATGAGCCCTAAGAGAAAATGGGAGCTAGTTAGAAGAGGATAGGGATTCCAGGAGGAGAAAAAGTGTGTGCCAAGGTATAGAGTCACAAATTTTGTGCTGGGAGCTTTGTGGTATTAAATGTGGCCAGAGCTTAGTGTAAGGAGAAGGAGTCAATCAATATAAAAGGCAACAGGTTAGACCAAGTCAGGTAAGGTTTAATATACAAACTAAAATCCTCAAACTTTGCCTCATAGGCAGCAAGAGGACAGTATTCGAATTTTTAAGCTTGCTGATAACACATACAGACCTGAATTTTAGATCATGCTGTTATCATTGTTGAGACACACAGAGGGCTGCATGAGAATATGGGCAAGGAGTTGTGACAATGTAGTAAGAACTCAGTGCACAAAAAATAGCATATGGGATGAAAAGGAGAGGACAGTTGTGAGAGTGAGATCATGATGAAGAATCTATGTGATGCAGTACTGCATTTTTTTGTTTTTAATGTGCTGATTGAGAAATAAATACTCTGACTTGTAAAGGGCTAGGGAGAAGGCAGTGCCACATATTGAGGTAGAGAGGAACAAGATAAAGAACATGGTGGGGGTGGAAAGTGAGGTAGTAAACAGGGCAGGAGAATTAATTCCTTTGGGTTATTTTTATTTGCCATAAGATGTATGGGTGTATGTGTGTATGTTGCATGTATATGTAATGGAATGTGTATATATATGTGTGTATGTGTAAAATCATGGAAATTAAAACCTGAGTTAAAATGTTTATGTAGAAGTGATGAGGTTGGATGGGTTCTCACCCAGTGGGCAGGAAGAGAAGAGAATTGAGGAAGGATCCCTGGGATGACCAGAAAGTATTAGATGAGCAGAAAAAATGAGAAGACTGAGAGAGCAATCACAGAGGGAAGGGAGAAAAAAAGAGATATGAAATCATGATGTCATGAAAGTTATGGGGTTAAAAGAATTTACAGGGTTTCATTCAGAATGTCAAATGCTGCAAGGAGTTCTCCCTAGATAAAAGCTGAAAAGCATCTAGAAAAAAAGAACGTTGTTAATATTCTCGATGAAGGGTGACCCCAACAGAATGGATATTGGGCAGAGATGCAAGATTGTGTTCAAAGGATTAACGGGCTTGTGAGATGGTAGAAGGAATAAATATAGGAAATTCAGCCTGGTTGTGAAAGGAACAGGGAAAAGAAGCCTGAGAGGAGGCAAGGGAGGCTTTTGGGGTTTGAATTATTGTCATCGTTATCATCACTCTTCCTCCTAACCACTGCTCCTTTTATTTGGTATGGAGCACTTCATGAATCAGTAACCATGAAAAAGAGGTAACCCAACTCTCCACAGGAAATAAGGGAAGATGGGAGCATTCAGGAATTAATATACAACGTGGGGGCAGGAGGGTGAAGACATTTATACCACAGAGGCTCACTTTTGTCAGTGAGAAATGGAGGTAAGTTGTTTGCTGGGAGACTAAGTGAAGACAGGGCACTTTAAGTAAAAGAACATTTGAAAAAGATACTATGGAGAGCTGGAGGAAGGACTGATCAGGAGCTTGCTAAAAGCTGAGTCTGCGATGATTTGCTCATTAGGTTTACATTTTAAATACTAAAATGAGGGATAAGAAGCCTTTCCTGCTCATGCATGTTTATATCATCTGTTGTGTAATGATTTCATCATCTTACTCATCATCTCAACACAAACATTTGTTTCATTTTTAAAATATCAAACTGGCTTTTGTATTTAGACTTTAAAAATATAATATTTTTAACAAAGGTTTAGGATGTAAATATATCTATCAGAAGAATGGTGATCCTTTGCATATAAGTGAACTCCTGGAGAGTTTCAAAAAGGATGCAAGAAGCTTTAAATTGAGGGCTGGAAAACATCAGCTTGAAGATGTGACGGGTGTGTTGAAAAGTTTTCTCTCTGACATTGATGATGCACTGCTTACCAAGGAGCTCTACCCATACTGGATCTCTGCTTTAGGTAATATTTATACAGATATATATATAGAGAGATATGTGTGTGTGTGTATATATATTATACAGACCATAATACATGCTTGCCTTTTAATACTTAGACTTTTTTGATAAGTTGAAATTTTAATTGAAAGAAAAAATGTACATAATGGCTTAGAACAGAAATTGTATAAATATCAATAGCTGTTTTAGTCTGTCTCAAGAGAAATTAAAAATATTTGCTCAATCATTTGGTATATACTTAGTTTTCAGTCGATTTCTTAGTTCATACTTTGCTTTAACTTTGGAATGTTATACTCAAGTCCATGTGTGCTACTAATTTCCCATTAAAAATAAAATGAAGCATTTACTATATGATTCATTTTGCAAGATAGTGTATAACGGTTTTTAACTGTTGCTTCATTTATCCTAGATTCCGTCTAATGAAATAGAATTTTGTTATACACTGTAAGAGAAGCTAATTAAGAGATGACCCTAGGAAAGGAGTTTATTAAATCCCTCGTGGGTCAAATTAATTTCAGTAAAGCCTGTTTTTAACCTCCAATGCTTTAAAACAAGTCCTTTTATTGAAACATTACAATAACAAAGACTTAAATGTAAATATTGCCTTTAATTCCACCTTTTTAATAAAGATGCTTTTGTTTATCAATATTATAGTCCTTTTCTCTACTTTTGTAATTTATGTATATAACATTTTTATTTTTATTAATACACCATAGCCATTTCTCATATATCTATAATATTTTCCAAATGATAATTTTCAGTCCTCCATTGTTCTAAGTTTTAAAACTTACTTTTGAACTAGTCTATAATTATAATATGTTTGTCTCGTATATATTTAATCTGTTTCAAGATTTGGAAAATGGCTTTTGAATCTGGTCACATGGCATTCCTCTAATGAGAAGTAATTTTCCTCATTGAAAGTATTTGTTTGATCTAAAACAATTGATATATTTAAAGATATTTTTGAAATGATGTCACAAAACACGCACAGTTTGAAAATTATCCCAAGAATGACCCTAATTAGTGTCAGGAAGAGTAGCATTATAACGAAAATAAAGTTTCTCATGATACAACTACCTGTCAGAAGTCTTTCATTTGCCTTCTGTTTCTCAAATCAGTAGGGTTCACTGTAATACCAAGAATACTTGATTATATAATTTTCTAAGATATAAAATGCAGAGATAAATACATTGCTTTAATCTCAGTTACCCTGCAACCCTCATTTTTGTTTTAAGAAAGTTTTATTGAAATGTGTGAAGCTGTTTAGAGTATCTCTACTTCATAAAGACTTATAATTTGTCTTTATTATAAAATTGGTTATCAGTAGTACATGGCAAGGCTGGGCATGGTGGCTCACGACTATAATCCCAGCATTTGGGGAGGCCAAGGCAGGAGAATAGCTTGAGGCCAGGAGTTCGAGACCAGCCTGGACGACATAGTGAGACCTTGTGTCTGCAAAAAAAAAAAAAAAAAAAGCGTTAACTCAGGCATGGTGATGTGCTCCTGTAGTCTCAGCTATTCTGAGGACTGAGGTGGGAAGATCACATGAGCCCAGGAATTCCAGGCTTCCGTGAGTTGTGGTGGTGCCACTGTATTCCAGCCTGGGTGACAGAGCTGAGACGCTGCCTCTTTAAAAACAACAACAACAACAACAGGTGACAAATACACATTTGCTAAAGTTGTCAAACTGAGTGACAAACAAGTCTTCACTGTTGTCAGTCTACCAGAAAGAGATAGTCAGCAGGGGTCAGAGTGTGTACGAAAGGAATGTGTTCACCTTTGCCTTGCCTGTGAATTCTTTGAGAATTTATTTGGAGAAGGCTTTGAATACTGGGTCAAGTAACCTTTAACTCCTTTGCTTTTGCAAACAATATAGTTCGGCCAGACCCTTCAATAGTGGCCATGTTGGACCTGAAAAGTATAAACCAGTACCCTCTGAGTGAATTCATAAAACTCTTTTGACGCACTGTGTACTTGAGGTAGAGAATGCCTTATAGCCATGTACCACCTATATTTATACGACATATGATCTGTTCTTCTAGGAACACTGTTAAATTCTGTGTCTAGTTGAATTGCTCATTGTATTTTCTATATGGCCTGAAATCTTTCCTGAGTTTTACTTTCAATTTATTTAGCTTTATTTTGAAAATATCTATTTTATAAGATGTGTGAAAATATGTGTACTAGCATGACTTTTTGTTTTAAGCATAGTACTTTTAAGACATCATTAGTGTGCTGCTGATTTTCTGTGAATAGAAGAGGTAAGGCTAAGCAAGAAATAAAATAGTCTTGTTTCCAAAGATAGTTGCGAATTGAGAGGAAATAGTAAGTGTGGTCTCCTTGAGTTATCAAGTCAGCACAAGTGATTTATTTGAAGAATGAGCTATTTCCACTGTCAGGTGGTATAGGTTAAACTGTCACTGCGTGTCCTCTACAGAGTCTAGATTTTGGGGGGTTCCTGTCTCTAGTTTCTCCAGATATTTGCCTTCGTGGAGTTAGGTGAGTGGAGGGTAATTCGTTTTCATCCTCCTCTCCATGAACCAACAAATTTCTGTTCATGACAAAAGCAGGAAGTCTATCATCCTCTAAATCCAGATTGTAGTTATTAAGTACTGGGCTTGACTTCTTCCATTGTACTCTCACCTTTTCAAAAGATTTGAAAGTACGCTTTACCTGGATCGAAGAGGTGCTGTATAGTTCATAGTTCCAGGATGGTTCGTAGCTTTGGAAATATTTTTATAATGTCGTGAGAAGCAAAAATCAGAAATGTCATTTTCAAATACAATTGAGAAAACATTTCCTTAGCCAGAGTTAAAATACTTTTGGCTTAACTCTTCAGTTTGTACTCCAGTTTGAATAGTTAATTGAATGTATTCCCATTAAGTTAAAGTTCAGTATTCCATAAAGTAGAAGATAAAAAAATACAATCCCTCCTAACCTTGTATTTTAAAAGTTATTTGTTTTCAATTATAAATTATAAAAACTAGAGCACATAGTGCTGGAATGTTATGTAAATAAATACTTTTCCAGATTGATAGAAAATTACTTTAGAACTTCGAACAGTTATCTACTGAAACCTGATTGTATCACTTATTAAAATGCGTTTGTTTGTGACTATTTTACAGCACTGCTGATAGACGAATTCATAACATTGATAATTAGTTTAGGCCTCAAGTTTGTTCTTTTTTTCCCTCCAGATGCGCAAGATGACAAGGAAAGAATTAAAAAATATGGAGCATTTATACGTTCTCTTCCAGGGGTCAACCGAGCAACATTAGCAGCTATCATTGAACACCTGTATAGGTGGGTAGATGAATGAACTTTTCTAGACATTTCAAACACAGCACTCAATAAGTCACTATTTCTTATGTGATTGTGAATCTTTCTACATATCATAAGAGCTCATGTTAGTCTGTCTTTCTGTAATTAAGTCACATTTATAGATAAATAGCGCTAGTAATTTCTTAATCAGAACTGATCATATACGGTATCCTCAAAGGCATCTGATGCATAAGCAAGAATTTTAAAACTCACTTGGTTTGGAAGCTGGAGAATGAAGGATGTGCAAGGACCAGAATTTTGTAACAAGAATCTGTCTGTGAGGACAGTATTTTCTCATGGTGGACATTTCTTTATTATCAGTTTATATCTTAACTGACCTTTATATTTTGGTATCAGGCTATTGATACAATGAGGAAATTTTAAAAATCAAAAACAATTTTCTATGTCAAGGCATGAAAGTCTCCTTGCATTTGGAAAGCTATGAGGAATATAATGGTGCCTTTACAAATGAGGTCTGAAGGATGAGGACATTTGAAAATAACCTTTTAAGTTAAAACTGTTTTTTTTTTTAATCTTAGCAAGAATTATTACAAAAACTTAAATAAATGTAAATTTTGATTAAAGAATATATTGTCGCTCCCTGAATGGATGAAATACTCGCTTGAATAAATTTCGGTAAAGCTGGATTTTGCTAAAAGTACCTTATTTGCAGTGTCCGTTTAGAAATCTTTCACAATTTGTGTTCTTTCTTCTTGTTCTTTTCTTTCCCAACCACTACTTCTCATTTATATCAGCTCCATTATTGTAAAACTGATTTTCTTATTGCATCATACAAATATAGTCTACATTATATAGTCCTATCTCTATGCCTATGAGACGTTGAGACAAACTTTAATGTAGAGAATTTTAGCATGCAGCATGGAATTTTAGAGGATAAATTGAACGATTCATTGTGCGTTGTGGTCCGGGGGATGCATCTGTGCTTCAGATTTAAAGAGATATATGAACTGGGCGTGAAAGAAGAGTATGAGAAATGAGTGAAGGATAATGTCTGGGACATAGGAGTACTAGGAGATGAGAGGGTTATAGTTGGCTGGCAGGAAGTTGTGGAAGGCTTTGTAGGTCATACAAAAACATTTGAATTTTATCCTTTAAGTGATAAAAGTAACTGATCAAATGTTTTAGGATAATAATCCCTATGATGGGATTGGTAGGGAAGATGTAGCATAGAGGCAGATAAGCTAACTAGGAAACAGTTTTGTTGAGTTTCTGATGAGAAGACCTGGAGGAGAAGGGACTGGTCAAGCTGAATATGGAACATTGGAAATGTTAACACCTCGGAGCAGAGAAGTAAAGGAAGAAACGGAAACACTATATTATACCTATTTTGTCCCAGAAACTAAGGCAGCCACTTAAACTAAAGACAAGAGAAGTGAAAAGTGCCAAAGGGGATGATATTACAGAAGGAAGTCTCAAGAAATACAGGAATGTCCTTAAAGGTAATGTCCTTAAAAGATTGAGAGGAAAATTTGGATGAGGACAAGTTGATTTAGCATTTAATTCAATCCCTACCCTAGCTAAAAGACCATTTCTGCCATCAGTAATATCCACTAAATTCCATTCACAATGGGATTAAAGAGTTTCTGACTGTGAGATACTTAGATTCTAGTAACAGAGACAGACATGCAGATAAATTTTCCAGATGTTTACAATTAAGTGTAGTGTGAAAGCATAGACATTGTTTTGAGAGGGATGTTCACAATTATTACATCCTCTTCTATTAAATTCCAGCCCCTTTTGCACCTTGAAAATCACATGTGATAATTGCCCTTGCACCATCTCTGCTATACAGTTTGGTATTTTATTATGAATTCGCTACATTATCATGTATATTGCTATCATGTTTATTCACCTTTTCTTGTAGCTACCTGAATCTGTGTTCTTCATAGATGGGAATGTCTAGCTTAGTCTTACTACATTCATTTTATGGAGTTACTATGTTCATTTGAGGGAGTGTGCCACTTACAGTTCTCATCTGTTACATTTTTAGCAATGTTACTTTCCCTTTCTTGGGGATGATGCTTCAGGGAGTTGTTTTGGTTTTTTTAAGTTCAGGGGTACAGTGTGTAGGTTTGTTACATAGTTAAACTTGTGTCATGGGGAAAAAATGTAATTGCATTTTAAAATAGTCTACTTTGTGATCATTTATTTGGAATAACTGTATGGACACATGTGCCCAAATATTCTTTCTCATTTGATTTGCACTTACGGGAACATTTAGCCCAGCTTTGCAACTGGAATTTGGAACTGTCAATTATATGCCTAATGACCTACCTTTTTTGCCTGTTTTCTGCATACCTCCTACCCCATTTCCTCCTCCTATGCTGCAGCCCCACAAGCCATTTTACACCATTCGGCAAACATATTTCTATGCTTTGGCCACAGGTTGTCTTATAATTTGCAATTGTTTGGATATGGTCAGCCCTTTCTCTAAATCAACAATTAAGTATGACTTTGTAACTTTTACTAATCCGTTTAATAGTACTTTTTCTCATGTTCTTAACTAGATTATAAGCTACTTGGAAGAAAGAACCATGTGTTTTTAAGTCACTACTGTATCTTTTATATCAGAGAATTTCAATTTGATGTGCTTAAAAATTGATAAACTGGCTTTCTGTTCTATGAAATTTCCAAATAGAAGTGTATCATAATGAACTATGCTTTTCTCTAACAGGGTTCAGAAATGCTCAGAAATCAATCACATGAATGCCCATAATTTGGCCTTGGTCTTTTCATCCTGTTTGTTTCAAACGAAGGGACAAACTAGTGAAGAAGTGAATGTAATTGAGGACCTAATTAATAATTATGTAGAAATATTTGAGGTAAATATTTTGTATCCTGCCCTTGTTAAAATGGTTATAATGTCACTGTTTGCCAACATATATATATGTTTTAGGGTGTTATTACTCAGATCTTTATTAATATTTAGAAATATGTAAAATAAGGAATAGTCATTTTAAAAATATATAGGCATAAGTAGCTTTTAAGCTATAGTCATTATTTAAATTTGGTTGCATTTCAAACTTTTTACCATCTTATGTCTGTTGGACAGAATATTTCTATCTACAGGATTTTTTGCTTGTGTTTTCTTTTTCTTCATGTGTATGAGTTATATCTACTTAGAGGTATAAAGTTATACATTGAACAATTCATTAATAAATACCAGACTCTTAAATTCTGCAGTTGAAAGCACTTTGGTTTTTTCTTTTACTTGTGTCACCAATTGGGAAAAAAAAGCACATTCTAAAATATTATTATTCTATGCATTTTACTAAGTAATCTGTTTTAATTGACTTTTTAATTTTCCATTTTATAAAGTTAATATTTTCATGTTTCATCAGAAAACTGTTGGAATAGGAATGATGTCTTGGTTCAAAGAAGTAAAATTAGAGGAAATAAGCCCAGGATTCAAATTGGTGGATTTGGGCGAAAGGTCCAGTTCTATTATATAACTAGTTCTAGCATCTCCATTTTGTCATTTAACCTTTTGAACATTCCCTTAAATGGTGTTTATGAGTCCACTTGTTTTCCGGAAGTATGGCTATACCACATGAAGTCAAGAGGGTTAGTGTAATCAGTTACCATTGTAGAGTTCTTACATTCTTATTATAATCACTTATCATAAGACAAGAAAAAGGAGCTATTTTAATAAAACAAAATATCACAGTCTGTATCTTAATTCACATAGGAATAGACACCAGATTGTGGGATTGTCTTTGCTCTTTTATCTCCTCTTTACTTCTTTCTATATCTGTCCACTGTTTTTTGATCAATAGCAACTTCTTCGCAATAATCTGATGCTGAGAAAATAAAGATTTAGAAAAATATGATGTATGGCTTTACATGCTGTCTCTATTTTCTGTATTTGTAGTTTTCCATTAGTAAAATGGTTATCTTCATAGTTATGTTAAACTTTACCTAAATGATGGAAATTTAATAAGCACTTAATGAACATTTCAGTTTGATAAATGAGCTTTGTTTCTCAACCTACATAAACTTAAACCAGTCATCAGATCCTTTGCTTAAGTTTCCTAAGAAATAGAACTTCCATCAATGCAATTGCAGCCTGAAGTAATGTCATCATAAAATATTTTGAACTTTAGGATACTCTATCTTGTTTATTTTATTTCCGACCTAGCTATGTGGGCTCATACTGATTCCGATGGCCATTCTCATTTATTTTTAAGTTGTTGGTATTTAAATTCCTGAAGATTACATGAGGATGAGTGTCATCACTCTTCGTATTCTACATTATTAGAATGTCCCGAATTATATTTTAAACAGGTTAAAGAAGATCAAGTCAAACAAATGGACATAGAAAATAGCTTTATTACCAAGTGGAAAGACACCCAAGTGAGTAGTAATAGTTAGATCTCTAAAGAATTAAACAAAACAGAAACTTCCATTGTAAGTAAACATATTTGCTGTGTGTATTTTCAAGTTCCTATTTTAAGCAAAGTAAAAGTAATGAGTGAAAAAAACAACAATTAAGTAAATTGGTTGTGTTATTCTGCAACCTGATACATACATGCAAAATATGCTAATGTAAAATTTTAAAAGTAGAGGGAAACTCAGTTTTAATTTACCTCTCAAGGTTTTCTTTATAAGATCAACTTTTGTGTATAAAAACCATGACTGAAAATGCTAATGGATTTCAAAGGAAGCATTTAAAGCCAAAGAAATACTTAGAATAAATTGAAAATTCAGACAGCCTAGTGATTCTTTTTTGTTATTGTGAAACTATAAATTATTTCTTATATGCTTTTGCTTTGCATGCTTTCAGATGATTGTATTAATGGAATGCGTCTAATGTGATCTTTGTAACACATTCTAATTTTTGTCCTAAGTTGACTTTTCTACATCCTGTCCTGTTTTCCTCAATCACATTGTACTGGATTTTTGTGTTCCGGTTGCACTATGCTTGTTTGTTGAATATTCACTGGAATTTCTTAAGGCTGATCATTAGTCATCTTCTAGTAACTAGGAGTTAGAGTGGATTCAGGGTGCCAATATAAATGATAGAAATGGATCAAATGAGCTCTGTTTACAGATAGATAATGAGGCAAATGCTTTTTTGTTAGAAACTAAAGTCTCCTCAGTCCTGAAATATCCACAGCTAACTAGAGGAGTCATTGAAGCTGTCATTCCATAAAAAAAAAAAAAAAATAGAGGAAGGCTTAGATCAGTACTAATACTACGATATTAATGAATTATTTTCTCCATTTTGACCCAGAGTAATTATGCAGCTTCCAAAGGAGTTAGCTTTAACCTTAAAAAATCTGGCTCATTATCAATTATCTTAAATTCTCACTTTTTTGGGGAGCAGAGAGGAAGACTTTAGTCATGAAATAAAGGATTGTGTGAGGCTGAGAGGTAACCCCTGACCATACTATCTACATTGTTATTTAAAAGGTTTGAGTATCTTTTTGCGTTTTTTATCTTTTATATTTATAGTATAATAAAGAAATAAGTTTTGAATGCTTTCAATTCAGTCTGTATAAGTAAGTAAAAACGAGAAATACAGTATTTGGAAATGATAAGTAAAAGAGTCTGGGAAAATCTGTTTTTTTTTTTACTTAAATTTTTCCTCTAATTCATTTAAAACTGTCTTCTGGAGTATTTTTTTCTGACATTCAGTCTCTTTTTCTTACCCCTGTTTGAATTTCTTACCTATTCTTCTTTTTTATTTCACTCTATGAGTTCTTTGTATTTACTTTTTAAGTTTTAAAATGTGTCCTTCCTGGAGAGCTGTTTATGCAAACATAGTGAAAAGCAAAAGTGTCAACTGTATGTTTTCCTTACTGGAATGTATCTGTAGCATTGTAAGTCAGGAGAAAAAACTGGAAATAAGCTTTTCTAAGCCTGTAATGCCAGAAAAATTAAGGAACTGTTTCAAAGCTCACCTTTAATGTTTTTCTCAAAGTTTACTCATTAGATTTTATGCTGAGGCAAATTTAATTTGAGAATTATTTCTTGATTATGATCTTTTTTATTTAAATCAGGTGATATTGTTTCTAATTGGTTACATAACTTAAGGGAAGTTCTGAAAAAAGTTACTCAAAATATTTTTCATAGATTAATTTGGTTCTTTGTTAACCTCCTATATGGTTAATCTATATAGTTATGATATGATATCCTAAGGCCTTTTATTTTCAGGCTTGCATCTTCTTCACTTAGTCTGTCTTTTGGGATATAATGATGACCTAAATTAGTACTTAATTCTTGGCCAAAGATAATTAAAAACTTCTTTTTATTGTCTACCATATTCCATGAATGACATCACTTTTATTTTCATTTCTAAATTTATGTTATTTGTAGTTTTAATATAGCTCTGACATAGTTTATCCTCAAAGTTCAATTTTCAGGCATATCTTCTCTTTAAAAATGTAGCAAGCCATATTTTGCCTTTTAAATATTGATATCATGCACATATTACAGCTTGAAGCAAAATTACATGTGGTTTGTTTTCACCCCTCATTTTGTTTATCCTGTTAACGTACATTCTGATGGCTCCTACGACTTCTGTTGTCGTAGCCACCATATTTCCATTGTAGCTGGATTCATTATTTTAGGAAGAATGTAAGGGTGTTTGAGAGCACTAAGCTCCTGAGTAAGAGATAAAAAAGAAAATCATTGTGATTGTTGTTACTGATTATAACATTTGTGTAAATGCCTTGTCCTTAACCATGTCTGGAAATGGGCACATCATGCTTGCGAACGGCGGAATTGAGCTTGTTTCGTTGTTATAAAATATTCAAAAATATGCCTGGAGCTTTATAACTGTCTTCAGTTTCAAATGTGTGTTTTTACAACATATTTACCTGTGTTGTTTCTACCTCTGCCCTTTTCTAGGTTTCCCAGGCTGGAGATTTGTTAATTGAAGTATATGTAGAAAGGAAGGAACCTGACTGTAGTATTATAATTCGGGTAAGTTCTAAAGGTGGCTGTAAAGAGGACTGTTGGAAGTCACAAATGTTAGCATTATTTTACATATTTTGAATTTTCCATTATTATATTTTATGTTACTTCTCCAGTTCAAACGACTGCCAACATAGACTTTTTATACTGTATCCCCCAGGAATTCTGTATTTTAATCATTTGGAAAGAGAACATCTTATGTGCTTTGGATTACACGTTAAGATTTTCTTCAGGTTCTGGAAAATACCCCGAGCTTAAATACTTGCTCTTCCCCTTCCTAGCTTCCTGACATTACACAAGTTATTTGCTCTAGGCCTCAGTGTTCTCACCTGTAGAATGAGAAAAAATCACAGTATTACATCATAGCATTGATGTGAGGACTCTGTAAGATAATGCATGTAAAACCCTTAGCACATTGCTGAGCATGTGTTTAATAAATAACTATTACTACTAGAGCTGTTACTATTAATAATAATCCCTCACCCTTGTTTTCTATACTTTAGCATCCAGTCTTCCAATTTATTTGAATATAACTCTGGGACATTTATTTGGATAACTCTTTTATTCCTTGAGAGTCCTAGTCATTTGTGATGAATTTAAAATAGATCTTTCTCATGCTACTATATTTAGTAATTTGTCTGCCTTACAGATAGTAACTGGTATTTCAGGTTGCTATTTGGTAAGACTGATTTATTTGTATGAACAATAGACATTCTGCCATGTAACAGAAATTTGGCTTTAGCTACTTATCATTTTTAAAGTCCAGGATTAAACAGAGTCACAACATTAGATATATTTGTACTTAAGTTAAATATATTTTGATTTTAAGTTTTGTGTTTCTAATGATTATGAATTGTGACTATATACCAATTAAGTACATTACTTGGTACATGAAGCTGAAATATTAACACTGTAATTATAGGCTTTGTCTTTACGAAGCATTTGCCTTGCCACTCCTTGGCCATGTCATATTTCTTACGCTGAATGCATAATGCTGATCATAAGAGATGTGAGGAGCTAGTAAAGATCAATTAGCACAAGTTAATCACTAATGCTAGAGGAGGTATTCAAAACACATGGCTTAAATCTATACACAGGCTCTTTAGTAGTACATTTTAATTTTATTTTCTAAAGTCACAACAGAAGTTATAATTGAGCCAAGTTCTTATGTTATCTGGTGTGTTTAGATAAAAGACTTGCCAGTTTCACCTATAGTAACCCCAAATACTCTTTAGAAAATAACAGAAACTATTTAAAACCAATTATATAGGTTTTAATGCTTACGATTCTGCAAAACCCTTTAGTTACATTTATCTCTGCTAATTATTACCTAAACGCATGGAGGTAGATGAAGCAGGTGATGTTCCAAGTTTATAAGAATGGAAACTGGGAAGTAAGAATACTAAGGCCAGAATACAAACCTGGGTCACCATAATCCCGACTGGGTGTTCAGTATACTGATCTGTATATTCTGTAGAGTAATAATTTCCCAAGTGTGGAGTTTTAGGTGTTACTAAAGAGGAGCTTTTGGTCTCTCTTGATGCAAGGAATAGAGTTCTGGTCTTCCTGTTTCAGACCAAGGTGCTTCCTGCTTCCTGTTTCACAAGTGGATTTCTCAATAATTTATTATTTTTTTAAGAAAGGGCTAGCCTTAAAAATATTGTACATTCATGCAGATCAACAGCTTCACTGAAATGATTCATCTGTTCCATACTGCTTGATGTTCTCTATTATTCCTAGATGCTACAATAATTTTTTTTTCTTTTAAGTTTCTATTTCTTTGGGCTTTTCTAAATAGAAAATAGTGAACTTCATTGTATAATTCTATTCCAAAAAAGCACTAAATTTCATAAAATACAAAAGGTAGACTTTGCGAGTTACCTGCAGTGAAATAGGTTTTTTGTTATTTATGTATGTGCAGTATGCTTATGAGCAATTATGGGCAGGAGAAATGGAAACAAATACATTTCTAAGGAACTTTTAGTAGGGACGTCCTTTTACTGAAAATGGGCAAACCAAGTTGCAACTGCAGTATTATCATGCTTAAAACATCATTATAACTAAATTCGAATTGAAGAAAGCCATTTTGCTTTTGGCCAGCATGGACTTACGATTGGCATAAGCAAAAACAAGAAGCAGCAAATAAAAAATTCCAAAAGTCCCCGAAGAGGTGATGTGCTTGTACAGTGGACTCAGGCTTTGGGACTTTGGTAGAGCCAACCCCCAGGCTGGCACTGCAGACTCTGATATCCGTCCTGGAATCCTGGTTCCAGCATACTTTGGTATCCCACCATCTGTCAGTTGGCATGGCAGGGCACACCACGGACCTCCAAGACCCTGGAGCTTTTTGGCATGACTGATAACCACCGACTGTGTATAATTTAGAATCTAGGCTGAATAAACCAAGTTACTCTACACTCTTAATTATAGAACTGACGAGTAAAAAGTTTTACATTTAGACCACTGTTAGATTCATTGTCTGGCGAAGACCATTCCTCATGTCATTGGGTACATTCTTTCCTTCTGAGTGGTCTAATTGCTCAGTAAGTGATTAAAAAAATCATGTCTATATTGTATTTTCTTTTCGTACTTAGGTACATTTTATGGAAAAGATCTGAACATGCTGTTTTCTCTATGGGATTTTGGAAGCTGGTTTTAACCATGCTCAAAATAAATTCAGGATATCACTAAATGGTGGATGGGGAATATTATTGGCCTAGCATAAGGCTACTTCTGTGTCTAACATATTTTTTGAAGAAATATTACTTCTCTTACAGATATCTCCTGTGATGGAAGCAGAAGAATTAACTAATGATATATTAGCAATAAAAAATATTATTCCTACAAAAGGTGATATTTGGGCCACATTTGAAGTCATTGAAAATGAAGAGCTAGGTAAGTGGTTTTTATACGAGGGATTCTTAAATTATTTATACTATAAAAAAGTACTGTTTAGGACAAGACTTTATAAACATTTTATGTCTTAACATCTTGTTATGATTTTTTTTACCTTAGTGCATGTGTTAATATATGTTTGAGGTTGACTTTTTATGATTTTACTCATCAAAATAATTATATTACCTTATTGACTATAAAAATACAGTGCAAGACTTTAGGTATCTCTTCTGGTGCCTCAGGAAAGAAGACCTTTGTTATAAGGACAAGCGATTTGATTTGGTACAATATTCTGAGTGGTGTGAGTTACTATTATTTAACCAGAACGCTATTAACAGAAACAAAGAATGTTGATTTAAAATAATGTTTATTATTCTATAAAGTAATTTTAAGAGCAGCATAAGCTTCATTTTTGTCTTTTTCCTTTTTCTGTCTTTAGTGGGTCAAATATTTTGTTCTTTTCATCTCCAAGATGCCTAGGGATAAAGGGAGCATTTAAAGCACCTTGACTACCCCAACAGTCAAGTGCTGAATAAGCTTAACATTTTAATAACACCCTGTGGTTTCAAAGACCTCCAGAAAAAAAAATAAGACACAGAATGTCTTTGTACCTTCACCATCTATCTAGCTGCTACCTACTAAGGTCTTGGGACACTTTGGAGTACAGCTATCAAACTGCCAAAAGAAAAATCTTGCCACCCTCAAGCTCAGAATAAAAATTAAAATACAATATTTAAAATACCCCATAGTGTGTTATTAGGAGTATTCCAATCAGTGTTAAAATGAAATGGGATTGTCAGTACTTGGTCTTTATGTTTTTATTCCTGTATTATGATTGTGCACAATTCTTTATAATTTAAAATGTTTCAATGTTATTTTAAAATATACATTGCCAAGATCTGATGACTCTGGTACTTTGATGTCACTTCACAGTGTCTCCCTCAATTGGTCTCAATCCTCCTCGTGCACAGAAATACTCTGGCAGATGACTCCTATGACCCCCAACTGTCAACTCCCCAGATTCACATCTGGGTTCGCTTTACCTAACCTTCTATGGCATTTATTGTTAATGACTATTCCCATTTTATTTGATGATCTTCACTCTGTTTTCCATACTGCCTGGATTCTCTTCATGGTTTTCTGATCATTTTACCTCTTTTTTAGATTCTCCTTATTCTGACTTCTAAACATTGGGTTTTCCTTGCTGCAACCTCCTTTGCCATCTTTCTTCATGTTACCTATCATTATGATTATGATTATTAGATAATCTCTTCTATTTTTTTGTGCTTGGCTAACAAATATGAAATGATGTTTCCCAAACATACCTTTGTTCTTCCTCCATCTGGCTCACACTACTACCTCATTTAAAACCTAGACTAAAAGTGTCATTTGTACTTTGTCGCATTTCTCTTTATAGTACTTATCACTTTGATCTGTACTTGTCTCTTTTGATGGGGGCTCCTTGGAAAGTAGGAGCAATTCTGTTTTGTTTTGTTTTTTTTTAATCTCTAATGTCTACCCTAGTGCCTATTATATAGTAGCCATAAAATCTATTGAATAAGTGAGGCATGATTTTCTATGACTCTGTGGTACAAGAGTGACAAAGTTTTTATTTTTCATCTTTGTTTAATTTTAAAGAATGGGTCACTCAGTTACCAGCTTTATTATATTTGTGCATAAAGGTTAACTGTCGACATTATTGCCAGAAGTATCTTTCCACATTACAAATTGGTTTACATTGTTTCACCATGTAAAACCCTTTTATTATTTCCTCATTGCATATTCACCCTTCACAGTGTAAGTAACATGTCTCTTCCTTCATGTTGTTCACACTGATTTCTTTCGGATCACTTGTTTAGAAATCTATAACGCTGTGTACTCTATGACTTCTAGAATAGTAATGTGTATACACCTGGTTCTGCCCTATACTATACTTTTTTTTAGCGCATTTACCACATATTTTAGGCTTTATATTTTTGACTACTTCTCATAGTGCAGTTGATGTGGATCACACTCCACAAAACTCTTTTCAACTGAAGTAGGGCAAAAAAGTAGATGCATTCTGGACCTGAGTGATATGGATTGTGACTCCTGGTATAGATGCATCGAAATGTGGGAGGCACATAGACAGAGATCTCTGCCTGTAGATTAGGAACCATGAAGAGATCTCAAGGCCCTGTTTAGTGCTTGGACAGATGATTGTCTCCTACACGCTTATATTTCTGTTGCTTTTTAAAAGTTTGATAGCAGAATACTGAATTGTGGATTTAGGGGTAAGCATCCCCTCCCTACCTCCCTTGCCCTCTCAGAGTTTGAGTACATTAAAGCATATCCATGTGCCATTGCAGCTCTGTATCTCTGGCCACTGGTCATTCTAAGAGGAGCAAGCTCGTGGATGAGGATAGGAAGGAATTATATATAGCTAGAAGAGGGGTTGCATTATACCAGGAAACATTGTTTTGAAATTTTATCTTGAGCGATCAAGGGATGTTTACCCTCAAAATGACTAATTATAAACTTGAATGTGATAATTAGTATATAAAATGCTAAGATTGAATTGGATTTTTTCCTATTTTTACTTCTAATTAGAATAAAGTTGTCTTTATGAAGATATCTAAAAAACTAGGAGACATCAAGTTTTGATTTGTGAATGTGTCAATGTATAAACTAAGAAATGTGTCATGTACACCTAGAAAAAATATACTTAGAGTTAGGAATTCAAATTTGGCATGGTCTTAATGTTTGGTCAACTGTGCAAGTAGAAATTGCAGGAAGAGAAATACTTTCAGAGGGCTAATGGTAGAAGAGCAACAAAAGGGCCTGTGGTTGTGTGGGTTTACTGAAGCCAGTTGAACATGTGTGTACCACCTGACCTGAAATGTTGAAGGCGTTATTACTAGTAACATGCAGGGAAGATAAAGTGGAATATGAGAAGGAGGTAAAAGTAAAGACATAGGTAGTAAGAAGGTTGTAGTCGATAAGAATGTCAGCCAGGCAATTGGTATGTTTTATAATGTAAACATAAATCCTCCAAGTAATGCAGTAAAAAAAAAAAAAAATGAATGAATATATAAATTTATAAATATGTAAGCCAGAGTACTAGATTTTAAGTATCTTTATATTTTCCTTTGTATAATAAATGTTCGGTAATCTTCCCTTTACTGTCCTGAGATAATCTATTGTACTCATTAAAAATTAATACCCTAATTAAAATATAAAAATAAAGGGAACGTATACATTATTAGCATGTAAATGCTGGGAAACTCCTATATGCCTGAAGATGATGAAAATAGATTCTTAAACCTGTGAATGGAATCTCCATAGATGTAGCAGCTACTAATTCAGATTGCTATAAGCATGTACCTTTTGTTTTCACTTAAATGATATTTCAGCATTACTGTCATTGGTGAGATGGTACACAACTTTTCAGGAAGTTCTGACTAAGACAGCACAGTCATCTTTTTTTGTTTATATGGCAGTCAGATTCGTGGGAAAATACATTACAACCATTTAAAACATTTTGATATTTTTGACGTTTTGATTTTATATTACATTGGTATGAAATATACATTAAGCCGAGTTAGATTCTCTTCCGTAAGAGCCAGTCATCCAAAATATGCTATTATTTTAATGCTTTACCTTAAATCCGATCCCATCATCTGCCAGTGTAGACACCTTTACCCTCTGGGTTTTTCACATCTTGAAAGAAATTTAACCACTGAGGGGCCTCATTTAAATAGGCTTCACTGAGAGATCCAAGTTTGCAAAGCAGTTACTTTTTATGTGGTAATATCAGAAAAAGATAGTCTTGTTTCTTCCTCATACCTACTGTGATGTGGAAGATCTGTTTATTTTTTATTAGGATTCTTTCTAGCTCTTCTGACTGACACATAAACTGCTGTTATCTTCTGATTATGTACGTAGGGCAGACAGTGTTTTTCACTTTGCATATGTTACCCAAGAAAATCTTAGTTTTTCCTCAAATTACATGTGAGAAAACCATCATGGGAAGGCTTACATATGTATCCGGAATAAAATTAACTATAGTAGTTAAGATCTGGGGCTTTAAAGTCAGATAGGTTTGGGTTGCACATTTCTGTTCCTCACCTTAACCACCTATGTGACTCGAGGCAAGGGGCTAAAACCTTTGTGATTCTTAGGTTTCTTTACATGTAAAATATGAATAATAATATCTAGTGAAGAGTGTGATTGTGAAGTTTGAAAGTGGTAACTGATTTAAAGCATCCAGCATATATAATGCCTGATACATAATTGTTATTCCATAAATGGCAACCGTTATTGGGATCAAAATTATCTCAAAGCTTTCAAGTAGTAGACTCAAAAATTATGTAAAGCCAGACATAAAGGGAGTGCTTATTTTATAATTAGTTTACCTTCAAATACATCTAACTTCAATTTGAAGACAACCAACTTATGAGTTAGTTAACAATTGAATTATAACTTTGGCAAATTGTGGGCAGTTATGATCTTTGCCAAATCTTTTAGAAAATTATTTGAAGAAAAGTAATCTGATATAGCACAAAATATTATATCTGGCTTTATGAGGACTCATTTTGTCTGTGAGTCTTTCTGTTAATATGTTTTTTTTTAAATTTATGGGCCATCAAAGAAAATGAGATAATTTATTTGTCAAATATTTATTGAGCATTTATTATATACTCAATACTATGCTGTGAATAGGGGATATATAATAGGAAACAAGATGTGTATTTGTCTTCAGGATGTATGGCCTAGTGGATTTTTTCTTTCCTTCTTTATTTTTGCCATTATTATAATGAGTTAGCTTGCTCCAATAAGCACAGAATGCAGAACTGGATTTCTCTTTACTGGATAGGAAGCAAGCATCTGGTAATTTACACTGGTAGCAGATAATTTATTTTCTTATCTGGAACTAGGAATTGTTGATGACTTCTGATATGATATGTTCGTAGCAAGGGAAACCAGTATTAGGGAGGATGCGATATATTTATGTAAACTTGTGATTTTATTATCAATTACATTATGATGGATCATACAAGTATGATGCTTTTGATATGCTCTTTCCTGTTTGTCTTTAGCCTCATTACTTTAAACAAAAGCAAAAAGCTCAAGTGCTGTGTGCTTTATATTTTGGATGGTTTGAAAGAGTTGAATTGACTTTTACATGGCTACAACACTAGGAAAGCAGCACTGACATCTTCATGTCAGAACTTCTTTTCTTATTATTTCAATTATGCTATTTTAAGTGTACTGAGAAAAGGTTTGAATTTCCCATATGCTTCTGTTGCTACATTTTATTAACTGATTGACATATTTTGATCAGTACAAACTTTTCTGTGAGGCTTTGATTGTAATTCTAAAACTGGTTCTTTTTAACTCTATGCTAAGAATATATGCTGCATTTAAAATTATGATTGCCTAAATCAAAACGTATATGGATGAATGTTCTTCAGAGAAATATATTGAAGATGTCATGTAATTTCTTGCTAATTGGCCTATTATGTCAATAGTTAATATATAATATTAACACATAATGTTTTTGGTATTTCCACTAATAGTTAAATATAGACTATTCAGTACTATTTTGTAAATTATTTTAATGTTTTCTATAGAAGTTACATTTTATAATTTTATATTGATTATGAAAATATTAGCTATGAGGTATTCACTAGTATTGATCAAAATTAGGAGTTTGATCTTGTTGGGATAAACAAAGGATTATGATTAAGTTATAATTATTATTTAGTAATAGACAATATTGTTTAATGGATTTTTAAAACCATTTAATTGCATATAAAAATAAGAAGGTTTCCCTAAACAAACCAGTATGTTATCTAAAAAAGAGGATAGAGGATTGAGTTGGTGGTTCATGCCCATTCATCCCACCACTTTGGGAGGCAGAGGTGGGAGGGTAGCCTGAGATCAGAAGTTTGAGGCTACAGTGAGCTATGATTGCACCACTGCACTCCAACCTAGGTGACAGAGTGAAACCCTGTCTCAAAATAATAATAATAATAATAATAAAGTATTGTACAAGGTGTAGAATTTATTGTACAAAGGGTAGAATTCTGAGATTTTTTTATCAAAAGAAAAGTACTTCTGATTTTTAAAAATAGTTGAGTAACAAATAGGTATTCCTGCATTATTAATTTATATAGTAAATGTTATTATATGCTTAATAATTTTCTAGGTCTTAGGGTATCTTTTGTGTAGTCATAGTGCTATTACTGTATAACATAAGATATGATTGTGTATAATGGTGCCTACAGATCTTTTCAAAGGGATTTTTTTTTAATTTATAATTATAAAAAAAATAGTTATCTTCATATATTTTCCATTTGATTTGGAATTTATTTTTTACAGAGCGTCCTCTTCACTACAAGGAAAATGTACTGGAGCAAGTGCTTCGGTGGAGTTCATTAGCTGAACCTGGCTCTGCTTACCTGGTGGTGAAGAAATTCTTAACTGCTGACACAATTAAACACTGCAGTGGTAGGTGTCATTACTTCACATTGCAGCTATGATTGAAAATTCAGGTGGTTAAAGGGTAATTAATATGGCACAAGTAATATTGGAAAATGTGAAAAATGAGTAGCTAGATACAGAATGAACTGACACAGTACATAGATAAGAAAGAAGAATATATGGACAGGAAGATATTTTCCTAGTGTGTTGCTCTGAGGTAATAGTTGACTAATTTGATTGTACCAAGTTTAAGTTTTTGGAAATAATAGTTTGTTTTTAAAGGTTGTTTACCATGCTTATGCTTATGTATTTTACTAATTTTTAGATTGAGGGCAAGTCATCTCAGTGAACTACATTTACATTGGAAAACTTTCTGGGCATTAAAGGAATGCTAAGTGTATAGGCTCTGAGACAGAGTGCTTGCTATACATCTCACATTGTGATGATATTGTAAAATAAATACTTACAAAATAGAATACCTCCAATAAGAATACTTCCCATTCAACTGGAAGGAGATAGTGCACATGTAAGGTTAATTAAGTTAGCTAGCACAAGTGAACTATATAAGACCATTTCTGAACCTCTATGAGGTCTCAGAAAATTTTTATTTTGAAACTTATTCTTCTGTTGTGTTGTTATCCACTGAAAGATAAAAAAAAAATCAGCCACTATTGTATACAATCCAACTCAAAAAGCTAAGGATGGAAATTTACCATTACTTTTATGATTAATATTAATAATAACAATTATTATTTCTTAATCGCATATCAGCAGAGCTCAATACACATCAAAGCTTATTTAAAGTGTTTTTTAACTTCCTTGTAAGTTCTATTATCTTTCAAATTTTACAAATGAAGGGAAGAGAAACTCAGAGAACTTAAGTAATTTGCCTTATATTATTCAATTACTAAGTATTGAATTGAAGAACTGATTGGCATTCCTCCTAATTTTAATCATGTGGAAAAATGTGGAGAGGATGGCACAGCTCTTCAGTGCTGTAAACCTACTCAGTATCATTGCAGATTCTCTAGTTAATAGTCATAATTCAGAGCTCTTAATTGTACCAAAGCTTACTGTATAAATTTCTGATTTAATGACACTGTCGTGTATATCTTATATACTTTACTTACATGAAAGTACTTTTACAAAATGCAAATAGTATAACAACTTTCGTGTCACTGTGTTCTTATAAGCATCTAAAAAACCAAAACAGATATTAACTCTTTATACTATAGAAATGTAACCTTTCAGAGACCTTTATCCTGTTTGAAATATTTTCATGCTTTTACATATGATTTTGACCGTATACTGCCTGAGCCGCCTTAATGTTTGCAATAGGATTTCTCTGTACTCATGTGAATGCACATGTATGAATGCACATGTCATAAAGTAGTGGCTCTCAGCTAGCAATGATTTCCCCTCCTTTCCCTCCCCACCCACAAGGCGTGGAACATATAGCGTCTTGAGACATTTCTGACTGCCACAACTTGGAGATTGGGTAGGGAGGCAGGGCTTCTGGTATTTACTGGGTACAGACCAGGGGTCAATGCTGATGTTGAGAAATCCTAATTTAGATAATCTGTGATATCTGTTCTAATTTGTGAATTCAGCTATTCTTTCATTATCTTTTTATTGAGTTTTTTCTTTGTTTCTTTTCTTCCAATATTCCTCTGAAATATCTGTAATTCTCCGTGTTGCAAAATGTTTAAAACCTACACCTAGACATAATACCTTTGCTGTTCTGTGAAAGCTAGTAGGCTGTCTATGTGAATAAAAATAGATAAGAATTAGATCCTAAAAGGCCATGTTATAAGTGGAGGTTCTGTATGTCTGAGGGTGAGGGTAAACCAAAACAAGTTCACCGTTAAATGCTATTAATCTTCAGGGCACTGCTGGGGGTGGGTAGCAAACAACCCAACAAGGTGTAGATTGCGCTGATCTAGAGCAATCATAACTGAGTAAAACATTTGTTGTGTAAGGGCAAGAAGAAATGGTGCAGTGACAGCCGGTACATTAGCTGTATCCACAAATGGGGTAGGAAGATCCGGTGTATTGGTGATGTTCCACCTATCCCATTGCATCTTCTAGATGGAGATATGAGTGTGTCCTTCTGTTTTAAAGCATCAAGCCTCTATAAGATCTAGACAAAGCATCTTGTATAAAAGAAAAAAAAAAAAAAAAACGAGGGAAGAGCTAAAGAAGCCAAGCAGAAGAAAGCAAGCTGAAGGCTTAAGTGATGTTTCAGAGATTTGGATGAAATGTTCTTTGGTTTTTGTTGTTGTTTGTTTTGAGATGAAGTCTTGCTATGTTGCGTAGGCTGGAGTGCAGTGGTGTGATCTCAGCTTACTGCAACCTCTGCCTCCCAGGTTCAAGTTGTTCTCCTACCTCAGCCTCTTGTGTAGCTATTATTATAGGTGCTCATCACAATGTCTGGCTAATTTTTGTATTTTTATTAGAGACCGACTTACACCATGTTAGCCAGGCTGGTCTCGAATTGCTGACCTCAAGTGATTCACCTGCCTTGGCCTCCCAAGGATGAAATATTCTTTGGAGCAAAGTGTCAGTAAACTTCTGTGTCACTCTCTTACCCACTTTACATCTCTAACAGGGTGGGGGCCATAAAACTTACCTCTGTCCCTGAACTATCCCTGCTGCCTCATTTTCTCCAACAAATATGCATCTTGTTACTGTACCAGGAACTTTGCATGAAAAAAAAATAGTGCTTTAAAGGAAAACCATCAACAAATACATTAATTGGATCATTTCATATTTGTAGTTATGTAGTCTGGTCAAAAATAAGAGAACCTGTAAATGTCTAAAGTACTCTTATTTTCCAGTCCATAAAATTTTTATAAGTATTGAATTAGAGTTTGATTTATATTCAGATTGTAAAAGCAAAATAATCTCTTTCATTACGGTTGGTTCTCCATTTGTTTGAATTTAGGCTTGCCCTTTAAAGGAATCTATAATATTTTTAAAAAATCAATTTCTTAAGTCATAATTTTTTCTTATGGTTGTGACTTAAAGCAACCTCTACTTTATTAATACCTCTTATGAGGCATACTTTGTGATAGGCTTTTGATAATTTCAGTATTCAGTCTAATTTATTTTTGTCTTGGCAAATGTCTCCTAAATCAATCACAATAACTACCTACTCCAGAGTTATTGCTCCATTCATTACCTCTACCACACCTTAAAATTGATATCTTAAAGGAAAATGATGAAAATAAATCAAATATGATTTCTCTGTCAGTGTGTTAGCAGATAAACTAGAATCATCTCAGTAATACTTAACTGTTCTTCAAAGAAAAATGGGAATAATGTTAAAGATTTATTTTCCCTTCTTAAGAATTTCTTATTGTAACCTGGGGCCAAGTAGAAATCGTCAGAATTTGAAAAAAAGGGGGGGCAGTTGATTGCAACCACATTTTTTCTCAGTAACAAATAGCTAATATGTTAACATTTTGTTAAAACATAGAGTTGCCCTATAACGTCCGTTGTACCCTACACCCCGATACTAGATACCTAGTTGCCACGAATTTTACTCTGTCCCTACATTTATAATTTCTATCTACAGCTTACATTTCATTAGTTTTAGGAGTTTTTTCCTGATATTTGGAACAAATTATAACCATATACTTTGCTTGACATTATGTTTTCACCACTTCCTTTTAAAGCAAGAATGTTATATAAAAGTTTTCTATCATTAAGGGGTTTTAATTTTCTCAATTTTCTTTCTTTATCCAAAATGTGGACTTCACACATAAGAATATATTTTAGAATCTAGCACTTAATTTCTGCTCATACATTTAAGGTAAAGAGGTAACATAATTTACTTTTATAGAGTTAGATGGGAGTAAGTACATTTTCTATTGCCTCTACTTATAAATTATTTGTGTTTTTCAAAGGCATTTGATTTCTTAGGAACATTTTGTGCCATTGCCATTATTGTAATAAAGAGCTAACTAACTTGAAAACAAAGGTAATAGTCCTCAATTTTTTTGTACTCCATGTATTATGACTGAAGTTTTAAGATAGGGAGAATGAAACTTCATTTACATTGCTATTTAGACAGTGTCGTAGCTTACCTAATTAAACCATCATTATATTTTATACTAAACTTCATCATATCTATCACAAGCAAACCATAAATGTATACCTTCTGTAAGGCTCCAGAATAATCTTAAGTTGTATAAGTCTTATTTTAAGCACTAAAGTTTTTTGAAAATTATCCCAATAGAATATGATACATGAGAATGAAATTTTAATGATCTAAATAGGAGAGAAATACTTATATCTAAAGATATAAGATGTAACTCAAATGCATATTTCTTTGAATTTCTAAGTTTAGATTGCTGTATATGACAGATGCTATGGAATTAAATTTGCATTAGAATAGTGTAATTCAAAATGCAACTGCTTCAAGTAAATTCAGACCTGGAAAGCTGAGCCGTTCACTATCTATGAACTTAAAAAAAGAAAAGACAATTTCAACAAATATAATAATAAATTTACCTAGCTGATATAATTTACATTTCACTCCCCATCATGTTTTCTTAAAGCCAAAGATGTACAAGATATTAAAGTAAGACCTAGGCCACTTAAATTGGAAGTTTTTCTTTTTTCTTTTTTTTTTTTTTTGGAAATTGATGATAGTCACTGATATTTACTATGGAGTACCAAATCCCTGACATTTTCTAAAATATAATTCTATGGTAAGAAACCATATTGGTAAATTTGTATTAACTCTCTGTATCATGCAGTAATCTATAGAAAATTTAAGGTATTTAAATTTAAGAGTTTTGTTAAGCATTATCTATACCCAGAAAGAAGAGAAATTCTAAATTTATGACAACTGTTGAAATATCAGAGTACAAACAGCGTGAAATAACAGACTACTCTAGGTCAGGATGTTTATGAAGAGCTTTCAATCACAGAAAAGTAGTTCAGCTGGATGATTGTAGACATCTCTTCTTACACTGAATGTGTCCTATTCAAGGAAGTGTCATTTCTTGGTTAGTTTTTCT